GCATGTCACACTTGTCTCAGTTCAATGCTTAAAAGATCTTAGATAGTATCGCAGTGGAAATTGCCACCGCTAAACTTTGTCCTCATCTAGTCAGTTAATGAACTATAAAGTTTTTGATGACAGAATAATTTTTATTTGGTATAGCATACAGTAATACTGAATTATTTGTTTATTCGCTGATGACATTTCAACGTCTACTGCTCATAGTGATATCACATAAATACTCATTTCGTTGTGTGTAGATCTCTTATTTTCCATTCCTTGATTTAATTAGTGGTAAGAATACTTTCCACATTTCCGGTATGGTTATTAATGTAATTGTAGATCTTGGGCACTGTCGTTATATGTAATTTCATATTAGGTAATTTTATTTTGAATATCACATCGTGATGCAGTATTAACAACTGGATGACAAGGTTTTGAGCATAAATAACTACTCATAATCATATCAGTTTAGACACACGGCTTTATATATGTAATACGGCTGTATAAAGAAAGAACGTCAGATGCGCTACGTAGGATCCTCAATGAGACTTGAAGTTAATTAGTATGGCATTTGAATCAGCCAACTCTTTCAGAGACAAACTAGGCCGGTTTAAGAACCCAACAGATCCATGTGGGAAAAATTATATTATTTATCAAATACTATGTAATGACCTTGATGTCAATTAGATTGATCAAACTAGTAGATCAAGGTCAACTGGATTATAGGAATGTAAAAATCTAGCTGGATCTAGAATGACTGACCCTGCTAAATAACACAGAAGAAAAGTCAACCATAGCATTGCATTCACTTGCGTGTAATCACAAAATAGGGTGGGACAAGGTGAGAGTACGGGTATGAGGCTAGCAACCTCACCCATAAAAAAGCGCCACTGTTACCGAGACTTCAAGTTTCCAGCTTCAAACCCTATTTTCCACTGGGAACGTAAAGGAATAAAATTTATAAAAAAAGATAGAAATATATGAGCAATAATTTTTACTTGGAACGCCATTCAGTTGTTCATACTGCATCAATGTGTGATACTTGAAATAAACTTATCTAATACGGTATTGTTGCTCAGTTTCTCCTTCAAGTGTTATTTGTAGATCCCATGAATATAAACCCAGTGATCAGTTTCTGTTTTCATTTAACCGCATTGCCTTATAAGACTGCGAGTTTATAACACACTACTACCACCCCCTGGTTAATAAATAATACTGTTACATTTTATGCTATATCGAATAATTTGTGATATTATTATTTCCTTTAATTCCCAGAGGAACATAGGACTTCAGCTGCACGTATCCATAGCGTTCGGTTGTCTGCCAACGTTCTCACCTGGCTCCACGTCTCCCCACATGCTTTCATCTCCTCTCCACGTCACCTCCTCCAAGTCACTCTTGCACTGACGACCAACTCGCCGCTTCCCTTTCGACTTCCACTCGACCAATGGTTTATCCAGTGATGTCACTTGATGGTTCCCTCAGAGTATGACCAGCCAATCCATCTCCATTTATTTCTGCTTATTTGTTGCACAATCGGCTTCTGGTTTATTCTCTCCTAGAGATCTCTGTTGCTGATCTTTTCTGTCTGGCCATCTGATACTGAGTAGTGCTGAGCGAAGACAGCTGACAGTTGATGAATGTCTAAAGTTTGTTTGAGGTGCTCTTCATGACGCGTTGGCCAACTTTCCGATCCGTATGGTGAGTAGGACTGACTTCACATAGGAGTTGAAAATTCGGATCTTATTTTCATTTTCATGCTGAGTGATGTTGATCCCCACACAGACTTGAGAGAAATGAAAGCTTGTCTTGCTTTCCCGATATTGTTCGCTTTGATATCCTCGTGAGTTCCGTCTGGTTGTAGTTGAAGCGATGCTTCCCAGGTATGTGTGTAGGTAAAGGAGGTTGTTTCTTTTAGGTTCCTCTCATTTATGCAGCCTAATTGCTGTCTGTTGTTCTTGTTGTTGCTGTTAGTGTTGCACAGGAATCTTCATAGAATATTAGTAGTCTAATATAGTATTAAACTTCACCGCAGTGCCCGAATTCTGTTGCTTTATCAACGATACATTTCTCTCTGGAAAATAAATGTGTAAGTCATATTCTTATTCTAAGTAATGGTCAGGAGACCTTCAAAGTTAGTGTTTCTATTGCCAAGTAAGTTTATTTGGTTATTTTGTGGTGTGCTGACAGTCAAACTGTTGTGCTCCACTATCACTATTGTTAAGATTTGGAATTTGTGGGCAATTTGTGTCGAGTGTCAGATGAATTCGAAAAATTACAGGCAAAAATCAGCAAGTTCTCGCAGGAGAATCAGGAATGACAGGACTCCAGGTGAACACAGAGAAGATGGAGATGATGAAGAGAACCAACCAACCAACCAGCCAACCAATAAACAACAACAGCGAGCACCAATCACTATCAATGGAATAAATTTGAAATAGGTCACTTCCCTCACTTATCCAGTTAGCATCATTTCAACTGCAGGTAGTCAACACAGATGAGGATGTCACGGCTAGGATAGGAAAGGCGAGATACCCGTTTATCGCTCTAAAATCAGTTTAGAAATCTGAACTCCGCAGCATAAACAATAAAATTCGGACCTTTATCACTAATATTAAGTTGGTCAGCTCTTGTTGCACTTTGCGTCACGAAATTAATTCCAACAGGCTACTGTAGACTTTTGTTAGCAGTCCTCTCCACTGGTTCACTATATGGAAGAACAAATGGCCGACCAGTAAGGATTAATAACAAGAACCTCTAGGAAAGAATTAACCAAGAACCTTTTGCACGACCAATTTGGAGAAGCAAATGGAGGTGGATAGAATACACGCTGCTAACAATGCTGAGTGAAATCACACTCCAGGCTATCACCGGAGTGGAACCAGAATGGAGAATGACGGACTGAGAGTCTGTAGACAACATGAAGATGAGAGCCTAAGGGAGGTTGTTGAGTCAGCTGAGGTAAACTAAGAAGAGTAGGAGAAACTTGGGAAGAACCACTGAAGAGACTGATGACATTATTATTCGTCTAAAGCGATTCCTAATTGTGATGGACTGGATTATGCGTCAGACAGTGAGTGGGAAACGAGAAGACAGGGATATTCTGCACCGAAGTGAACAACATAGAAGACCTGAATTTCGCGCGTACATGATTTATGTTTGATGTCACACACACAAAATCGATGACTTACAAGCGAAAACCGACCGACAAACTGATAGAAGAAGCTTCCAGCGAAGACAGGACTCCAGGTGAACATGGACAAGACGGAGGTTGTGAAAATAACCAACTAATCACCACCACCACCAACCAACAACAACAGCAGCAACAACATCAAGCGCCAATCACCATCAACGCGAGGGATTTGAAAGAAATGACTTCATTCACTCACTCATCTACGGAGTATTGTCTCAACTACAGGCAGTCGGAATGGACGAGGATGTCAAATCGAGCGAGAATCAGGAAGGGGGCGAGAAACACATTCATCCATCAACCTGAAGCCAATCTGGAAATCTTCGTCACTCAGCCAGAATCAACAACCACATTGCTTCGAATTTTCAATACAAACGTCAAGTCAGTCAGTTCTTCTATACGGATCAGAAACTAGGCGGGCGGGTCACAAAGAATATTTCCAACAGGCTATTGCAGACCTGCATCAACAACCATGTGTCTTCGCTGGATCTATACTGAAGATCAGATGGCTGGGCCGGAAAGAATCACTAACAAGAAACTACGAGCACTAACAAAGAAAACAAGAACCAATCGCCAACCAACAAATATGCAGGAGAAAGTGGAGATGGATGGAGATGGACACTCGCTGAGGAGGCCATCGCTGGGTGACATCGCAAGCGCGTCAGGCGATTGCTCGAGTGGAATCAGGCCAAAAGGGAAGCACGCGGCGAGTGGGGTGTCAGTTCGAGGTTGACATGGAGGAGATCGTTTGCGTGAAGAGGAATTGAAAGAGTATGGACCAACTAACATGGATGCAGGTGAAAAGTACAGCAGAAGAAAACAGAAGTGGCAATTGGAGCTGTGCAGTTGGAGCCCTATATTCCACTAGGACTCGAAGGGAAAAATAATAATAATATTAATTAGTTTCCTTTACGAATTTCGAAAATTCATCAAGAAGACCTCTTCTTCTCACCATCTGAGTTCTAAGTGGATCATAGGGCTTGAGAGGCACATCTCCACTCTTTTGTGTTCTCTGGGTACTGGTGGAAGAGTCAAAAGCTGCCATGCTTTCTCGATCTGATCCTGGTTGACCGCCTTTAACATTTTCATCCGTTCTTCCTGTACTTAAAATGATCAATGCTGTCAAGGTAGGTGAAGGAGTCGTCCTACTGCAGATTTATTCGATGCATAGTTTTCTTTGTTTGTCGGTTGCGTATCTGCAAGACTTCCGTCTTCTATTTTTCCATATAAAACCCTATCATTGCTATCTCTTTTGCCAACTTGTTGGTTTTCTTTTGTATGTATTCGGCTTTGTGAGGCATGAGGTATAAATGATCCTCGAAGTCCAGATCAGTCAGGGTCTTTTTGTCAATCCAGCAAATGGTTTTTTTACCGGTCCACATGATTCAGTCCGCCACAATTAAGAAGATAATTGGTGATGATAGTCAGTATTGTTTCACTTTTGTTTCCATTTCAAATGCTTCATGAAGACGGTGCAGTTTAATGTTTTGCTTGGACTGGACACCAGGCGCACCCTGCGTCAGTCATTGTTGCATAAGCCTAGGTTGATGATCTTTGGCAGTTCGACAGGCTAGTGTTTATTGCGATCGTCAATTACCTTTCCTTTTCAACATCTACAGCAGTGACGTAACCTTGTGCTCGGAAGTCTCCAGTTTGTGTCTAATCCTTTTGCTTTGCTAGGTTTTAGTAACTTTATGCTTAACTCTGAATATAGATACATTATTAAACCATTTTCTTAAATTTGTCTAATATTTCTGAAGGTTCATTCAAAAATAAACTACCTTATGGTAGATATGCATTTTAACTCTGTTGTAAATAAACCTACCCTGATTTCGTTGCTTTCAGACCTTCTTCAACAGTGGATTTATTAAACTTGCTCATATACCGATGCATTTCTGGAAAATTGATTTTTATATTCTCTTCAGTAGCTCCACTTGGAATAGTGGCAAATCGCAGCGGTGGTTTAAGAAACCAAGGATGCTGTAACTAAAAGAAATAAGTTGTATATAAAATATTAGTATTCAGTTAACAGAGAACAAATAAAGGTTGCAATTTGTTCAGATATGTAGTTTACCAATAAACATTCAGTTCACCAGTGATTCTAAGTTTCTCACTTCTCATTTTAGGCCAATGATTGTTGTTACTGTTAGTTGTGTAAATCGCAGTAAGTTTTAAGACGATCATCATAGAATCTAACCCTTTCCAGTGTTGTTATTAGTTGGTGGGAGGAACTTGCCACCCTAGGTTTCGTGCTAGCTAGCACTCATCAGTCAGCAAGGCGTATCTGCAATCACCTCGAAGGAACTCATGCGCCTTATGAGATTCGAACCCTTCTTAGTCTGTACTCCAGTCAGAGAGATTAACACTGAGCTTCTCAGACTCATGATTGATCCCCTGTAGGACTGAATTGCTTTATGAAGGAACTCATGTCTCTGACCACCGCATTGGGTGACTTGAGTTCGAATCTAAGAAAGGACATGAGTTCCTCGAAGTTTGCAGGTACACTCACCATGCTGATTGGTGAGTGCCAACTAACATGGATTCGAGGTCATGATAGGCTTCTTGACTATTGCCCTAAACGATCTGATATCAACAATTCAAAGTGCACCGTACTGGCGAGTTCCCTAGAATTGGGTTCACACTGAAAACGTGACTGACGAAATTCAATCTGTACCAAATAAACGACTAGACATACTACACTAGTGTCCAAACATAATTTACGCCTCTATTGATCATTTTTATCGATGTAAGACTTGAAATTTCTTTCCATGTGATTTGTTTTTTATTCGCTGACAAATTTGATGTGTTTGTTAATAGCTGATTCATTTGAGTACCAGACTTCTAGAAATTCCCTGACTGCATTTTTCGGCGTTTTCTCTGTCTAAACTTTCCACATTCTCCCAATCAAATTGATGTCCGATATTATCTCAACCCATCGATGTGAACGAACACATATCACATACTTTCACCAACGATATATTTATATATACTTATGTATATTCCCTTAGTTCCAAGAGGAGCATAGGGCTTCAGCCACACGTTTCCATTGCGTTCGGTTCTCCACCAACGTTTTCATATCGTTCCACGTCTCCCCACATGATTTCATCTCCTCTTCACACCACCTCCACATTATCAATGTCATTCTCGAACTGACGGACAACTAACTCTCCGCTTCACATTCGTTCTCTACTCCAGCGATGGCCTGCATTCCGGGTTATCTCACTCATTTGATGGTTTGTTTTCTCAGAGTGTATGGCCAATCCACCTCCATCTCTTCTCGCATATTTGTTGCACAGTCGGTTCCTGCTAGGTTCGTTGGTTCGCTTATTGTCAGAGATACCTCACACTACTGCTGATCTTTTCTGGCTGGCTATCTGATCTCGAGTGGTGTTCAGCGAAGACAGCTGTTGATGAAGGTGTGTAGTTTGTTCGAAGTGCTCTTCGTGATGCGGCGCAGTGGCCAAGTCTCTGATCCATATGTGTAGTAAGTAGTAATGACTTCACATTGGAGTTGAAAATCCGGATGTTATTTTCATTTTGATTCTGAGTTGTGGTGTTGATCTCTTCCACGCAGACTTGAGGAGAGAAATGGAAGGTTGGCTTACTTTTCCGATATTGTTCGCTTTGATATCCTCGTGAGTTCCATTTGGCTGTCGTTGGGAGGATGTTTCCTATGTAGTTTGATAGGTAGGTAGGTAGGTGGGTAGATGGGTAAAGGAGGTTGCTTTTTTCGTAGTTCTCCCATTTATGCAGGCTGATTGCTGTAGTGGCTGTTGGTGTTGCTGTTGGCCTCCTGAATCTTCATTACTTCTGTTTTCTCTATGTTCACCTGAAGTCCTTTGCCTTTAACTGATTTACTTTCTGCTATATATTGATTTCTTATAAAGATAACCGTAGCTGTGAATCACAAAATTGTGAAAAACAAACCGAGACACCGTCTGCCTATCTCCCTTGTAATTTTTTAAATAACTATTATTAAATATTGCGGCATTTTGCATTGCATTATGTTTAAAACAATCTGGACTGTATTTTTTTCACTTTGCTTTTTGATATGTAAAAGAAACGCTGAAAATTCCATGCTGTAAATTGTTATTGTTGTGGAATAAAGTGATTATTATTATTATTATTATAGTGATTATATCTGATGAATCAAATTGAGCTGGGTTTATTTAAAAGTGACAAACGATTCCTGAACAAACGATTCCTTTAACAAATCCCTTGAGATTATTTGGCATTCAGTCATGAAGTGAATACAGTCAGTTACTTCATATTAACTACACTACAACACTACTGAGCATATTTCAAGTTGGTAAGTTTACCAATAAAATGAAATTAAAGATTGCAGCCGTACACTCATCTAGTAAGTTGGATGACAGTTGTGACGTCACCACTTTTATGTTTGTTATGCTTTGAGTTGAATGGGGCTGTTAAGCTCGACACAGATGAATTGTTTACGAATACCGTTTACTTTCGCTAACAAACATTTTACGTCATCTAACTGTTTCTTACCGGTTACTACTTAGGCGTAAAAAAAAACATAACGATGTTGGTCGTTAAGCATATCTCAGTATCACTAACGATCTATTTAAAAAAGGCAGCAGTCTGTATCAAAAGACTGAAACCCGATTTAGGTGTTCAGAAAGAAGCAGTTATCAGTCTTTTCTTGCCCTGGTGACTGGATTCACTTATTCTACGTTTAATTTGATTACGCAGTCATTGGCTTTATCCTCACCCCCGTTTGATGCAGTGTCATTTCACTTGTCTCTTGTTTCTGTGATTTCAGTACACTGTCGATACATTGTCACCCAGTTTATTGGTCACTCATCATCTTACTCAAGTCCAGTCTTTATCACCTAACTCCTTCATCATTATGTGCATACATTTACTTTGTTTGAACTTGTTTAAACTCCCTATGCAAAATTATGTTAGCGTAGTTATCTGAGCATTGTTCACCAGATTCAGAACCTCCTGTCAAGTGACATCACGTAAAATTGGCAAGTATGTTAAAACTTTTCTGCATATGAACTGATAATAATAACTTATTCAAGCTGTAAGCAGTTCAGCTGACGAGAAGACAAAGAAATAAACAATGAAAGTATCATATTATTGTGTAAAAACTACTGTTGTTCTCGTTTTATTCAAATTATATATATAAAGTCAGTGATGCGTGCATGAAAGAAGATCACCACAAAAAGGATAATCTATTGTTTATCTGTTAACCTATCGTCGACAAATGTCTTGAAATATTGGAAGTCGATCATCTCACTGTACAACTCATGATTACGGTTGATTATAAGTCACAAACTAAGGCGAAATAGACATAAATTTATTGATTCCCACATGATGTGTTTGTCTGTGCTTTGACATTGCCCTAGTGACTGAGTTGATTTTCCGGGTTAGTGTCACTAGCCTCACATCCAACCTTCCCTCTTCTTCTGGACTTTGAACTCACCAGTTAACTAGGCAAGGTTGATATGGAAAGTAATGCCACGCTGAAATGTTTTATTGTTTCAGCAGATATAACTAATCGTCGGTTTAAGTACTGAGAAATTTTATGTTTTGGTGAATTCCAGTCTACATGTGTTCAGTCGTGTGGTTTTGCTACAAGTCTTTTCATCCTTCCTTGTGTTTTCAGAGGCGAGTGGAGCTTCAGGTTTTAGGTTTCATAAGAAAAAGAGGTAAATAGTGAAGAAAATTTCCTGTTCGACGATAAATTTTCCTAAGCTGCTCTACTGTCGCTAGCAAACTTACACGATCTCTTCACTCTCTACCATGTAAATTGAAGGACCGAACAGTAACAGAAGACAAAACCAACATTATCTACAAAATAAATTGCATGGATTGTAAAAAAATACTTTCTTGGCCAAATCGGATGCCCGTTTTACCAAGGTAACCATGATCACAATCTATTAGTCTAAAGACGTGTCATGCCTTCCTTCGTTCAAATCAATTCATGTAGAGGAGCATAAACAAACATATGTTCAACTGGGATAATGTACATCTTAAACAGAGGACCAAGTATACCAGATGCCCTGCTACTTATATCAATATTCAGTTAGTTTATCAATGAATCAAGAATATGGCACGTGATTTAAACGTGAAATAGTAGGTCAGTATCAATATGAGCGAAGGCAATCATAAGGAGGTGTACAGGACAAATGTCTACAATCGGAGTCACTGGGAAGGAAAATATTTCATCCACATATAATTTCTGATGCTCAATTCATTTTGAAGTTAGCACTAAAGATGTTGGAAGCTTTACGATTGAACCACTCACCTTAGATAATAAATCAGCGTGAGCTACAGATGTCAAAATACCGATTTGTTTCTTATTTGGCCAAATCTTACTGACATCCCATAGACCACCGTGACTTCAGTTACACCTTCTAGTGATAAATTTTCGTTTGCTGGTGATATGGTGAACGATATCCAGTCAGTTTTGGCCTACATAAAAGAACGTCCACTATTTTATTCATCGTGATTACAAGGTAACTTAGAAAAGGAACAACAAATTGAGCGAAGAAATATATATTCCTTTTCAATTAATTCCTGATCATCGGCTCTACACTAATATATGGTTCTTTACATCAAAATATTTTACCAGTCAAGTCGTTATTTTAGTTAGTCAGTCTGACTTATAGGCGGCGTGAGTGAATTTAAGAGGTTAAAGGTCATCAAAACAAATAACTAATAGACGTTAGCAACAAGATATCCAAGTTTTAAAAGAGGGGTTCCACTGCTAGCCACCATCCACCAATTGTATACTAATGTCAAGTGCTGTCTAAAAATTTAAAAAAAATTAGGAGTACGATTACGATAAGAATGAAGGTGTGAAGTGAAGTGGAAAGAATTCAAGTGGTAAAATAAAATAAAATAAATAAAACTAGAAAGTATTGGTTTTGTCAGGATTTGGTTTGATTGTATGGAGGATTTAATCATGAGCTTACATCAGTTAGAGAACCACTGGAAAACCTGGGAGTACTGGA